AGTCACATAACTGACAATTTGCACAAACGAATTATCAGAGCGAATTTTGATATATTATATTATCCTACTATTGTTACACAATTTATTAACATACTTTTTTTTAGGTTCATTTAGGTTCTTTTGATAACGATAGCAGAAAATGGCTATCGAAATGTCAAGGTAATTTTTCAAACTAATTTCTCTACTAATTGGAATTTTCTCTTACAGCTTGAGCCTAAGTGTGTCGCAGGATACCCTCTAGCTGATAGTTCTTGATTACTTTTTGATAAATAATTCGTTCTTATTGCGAAATAGGAGCACTATTTATCAATCTGTAATAAAAGACGTGAGGAAATTCTGTCTTTTTTAAAGACAAAAATTTTTGAGGCGAAATACCCAAAAAGAAGTTTGTAAAAAATAAAGCTTGTGTTTTTAAGATATGTTTATGTTTTAAAATTGTATACGAAAAATGAGCCTAAGTTTAATTAAGGCATAACACAGAAAATGTGACCACTTTTTGATATAATATGAAAACATCGGAAAATTACGGGACAAAAAAGATTTAAAAAGTAAAGGTTTGTTTCAGTAGTTATTCACGCTGTAGGTACACTTTGACAATTTTTCTAAAGCAACCTTCAAATTTAATTTTAATGTAGGCTTATGCAGGATGTCCAATAATTTAATTTCAAAATTAAATGACTCAAATGTATCGTTTATTTTACATGGGGACACTTTTATTTTTTTATCGGCGATTGAAAAAGTTTGGTTTTTAGTAAATTGTAACTTTTAAAATCCAACTTCGTGAATGAAAGTCTGAATAGAAACCGATAAAAGAATGGAAAAATTTTAAAAACCCTTTTGGGGTCATATCATTTGCCGGGAGACCAATATTTTTATTTCTAGATTTAGTTTTAGTTTAATTAAGTAATAGTAATTTTTCATTAAATTTGTTTGCTTAATAATTTCTGCAATTGTAACTTATATTATTATTATAAAAAATATGGTAATATGTTATTTTATAACTTTGTCATATAAACGCTTATACAACAAAATTATAAAATATTTTATAGAACCCTTATAAAATGATTTTGAACGTTGATGAAACGTTTAGGCGACGAAATTACTCGATACTTTAGTTAAAGAATAACAATTTAAATTTAATGTTTTATATTAGTTGTGAGTAACTGCTATGTAACTCCAATATAACCGTTTTTCAAATCTGCATTACAGCTCATAACTATCAGTTTCTATCAAGATTTTAAATATTTGTGTAGCCAACCCCCATCATACGCAAAACTGTAACTTTTAGAAATTGATTGGGTAACTTTTATTAGCAGTTTTTTATTTATTAGCAGTTTGTATAAAATGTGGCCCCTTAAAACTCGAATGTCGCCATAATTGTTTTCCTAAATTTTACGTGTTTGTTTTCTCGTCAGGTAAAATTTGAATTAAAAAGGGCCACACGATATATGCAAGAAATCCTGTTTAACTAACTAATATGTTGCTGTAATTTTCAGATGTTTCGCGAACAGCAAATAGATGGAAGCGGCCTTCCTTTACTCACTGAGGAACATTTAACGCAAACGCTCGGAATGAAGTTGGGACCTGCCTTGAAATTGCGCTCAATATTGGCGAAAAAACTTGGAAACTATACCAAATATTGTTCAAGTTGTCATTCAAACGCAATTAATGATATTGAATCTCCGCCGAGAAATGGCGAAATATCTCCAGATTCGGCCCCTTCTAGATAAGTGATCGGAAGAAGGAGTTTTTAACGTATGTGTTATACAGGGTGCACAAGATAAGGATGCTTTGCTTGGTGATCTCCCAAACCGTAAGAGATACGAAGTGAATTTTCCGGTTTGCGTTTTCCTTTATTTCTAAAATTATTTCAAATAATATACAAAAAAACTTTCTGATAGCACCTTTTATCATTTTCCAAATATCCAAAATTAACCAAAAACTAAAATAAAAACTTGTTTTTTGAAAACGTCATGTATGTAAGTTGATGTCATAACTTTTCTAATTTAACCGACTTTGTATCTCTTACGATTTCGTAGATCCCCTTGGAAAGCATTGTAATATTGGTCACCCTGTATATGTATAAATATAATAAAAATAGATGCCAAAATTACTTAAATTGACCTTTTCGGGTAAGTATATGAAAATGCTTTTTATATTTGATTTTTTTAGTAAATATTTTTATAACTGAAATCTTATATTAATAATTAAAAATTAATGTATATAATATATGTATATTATTTGAAAACAGTGTAAATAGTATGTTGGCAAACATGTGTAATACGTATAGTTATGTGTAAGTAATGAATTAAGTAATTCAATGCAGATAATTAAAAATTGCAAACAACAATTTGCTTCATTGGTGCTCAATACAATATTTCTCATTTGCAACTTTATCACACAAATAGACAAAAATTGTACAGTGAAAGCCTAAAATGCCAACGGAAATACGTATTTTTATACAATTATTATGCTCTTTAATTATCGATAGTATACTTTTCAAATTTCCAGCACACAAACATAAAAATTCATATTTGAAAAAATTGTTGATCTAAGATGTTCTGTAAAAGTACAGTACAGCGTTGAAGCAACAACTCCAACAATATGTGTTGTTGATTAGAGCCAATAGCAAACACCCCAGAACCGGTTTCGATCGACCTCTTAGATCTGGTCAGATGGGATTAGTTTGCAAAAACATGATAATGATAAATACAATAAAAATTGTTAACAAAAAATTTAAGTGCTCGCTTTTGCAAGCGAAACTCTGATGCATATCAGAAAACCCGTAGATTTATAACAAACTCGTTATAGTTACAGTAGTTTTAATATGTACAGTTTGTCGTAATGTAATAATATGTATATATATTTTTAAACGATAATAACAATTATTTATTATTATTAACAAGTAGTATTAAACAAGTTGCCGAAGTTGCAATAACTCGATTTATAAGTATAATATAAATGTATTTATAATAGAAGTAGAAAATTTTTGTGTTTGTTAATTTTATAGGCCTGAAGGCTATTGGAAATACGAGAAACAAAATAATTTTCAAGTGTTTTATTTTCTCGTCCGATAAAAGCTAGACAAAGTACTGACTGATTGAAATAACTAAAAAATGTTTGTATGTGTGTACTAAACTTAATCAAGACATTATCATTAATCCAGACCAAGTTGCTTATCAAAAGTGTGTGATTAAAATTAGGAAAAATTATCAATCTTTTTCAATCAAATTTCGCGTTGATAGCGCAGATTAAACATGCAAACAAGGTATTTCATGAGTAAATAAGTAATAACCACAGATAATGATAGACAGCTGGAAAAACAATGCGGCAATGATAGTTTTTCCAGTATACATAGAAGCGCTTGCGTTCTGCCAGCTCTTTAAGGGTTTTCCAAGCATCCAGGTCGTTATTCTCGCAAGTTTCCTTCTAACTATAGTGCGCAAAACTCAGGCGATCGTTCGTCTGTATATCGATTTTCCACATTCATCCCACATATTTACCAGACCAATTCAGTATGGATGTTATATTGAATGAGAGGTATTCACTTTTGATACTTTGGGTTTCCAGATTTACGAAAAACTTGACTGGAAAGTAACTGTGTGCCGACTGTGTATTTAGTGATGTTTGGTTGGATTCAAGTGAATTCCGGAATAATTACGAATATTTAATGCTACAATTTGAGGTTGCAAACATTAGGAAATTTGTAAAAAAATACCTTTATCTATATATGACATGTTCTTCTGAGAGATTTTGATCATTCTTGAAAGAATCCTACCGTATAATAACTAAGGATTTCTATTTAGAAAAATGCTTTTGCCTGACTGCCTTATTTTGATTATTTTCAATAGAAATTTTACATTATCTAAAAAAAAAACGATTTTTTTTCATATAAACATGGGTTTTAAAATTTTGATTGAATGTGGATAATCCTTAAAATATAAATATAATTGTTCATTGATTTCCGGTTGTTTAAAAAGTAAAGAATAATTACATTTATTCGTCAAAACGCTACAGAATAGAAGTTAGGTATAAAAGTATATAAAAAGTATAACAAAAAACAACAAGTTAAATACCATTTTAAAAATATGTACATGGGTAAAAAATATTAATTTTGAAAAAATAAAACATCTTGCAAATCAAAAAACTTTTCAGAAGTAGAGTTTAAAATAAGCAACAATTTTGGCAAGTTTCGAAAGGAATATCTAAAAAATCATAAACATTTTATATACAGAATGACTATTTATCGTTTTATTTGTGTGTATTTGTCGTATAAACATACGTTATTCTAAAGCAGATTGTTTTTATTGTTTGAGTTCGATCGTTTGGGTGCTTTTTCTTTAATTTGGGTCTCCCTATCTTTTGCCAAAAAAAATTGCAGTGTTTTTTTAAATTTCAACTGATAACATCATTAAACTGTTCTCTTAAAGTGTTAAATATATTGCACAGAAATATCGAGTAGTAGTTTAATTTAGTAAATTAATTTTCTTTCTTAAAAATTTAACCATTTCTATAATTTTTGCCAGGTAAGTCCAGGTGATGAGGACTAAGAGTAAATTGAATAATCAGTCAATTGGTTTAATTAAATGTTTTATTAAATTGTTAACTTTTCGCAAAATTGGCTACACAGCTTAAATGCGGATTTAATTTTTTTAAATAAAATTTCTGTTCTCAAAACAACAAAATTTGGAAAAAAATATAATTTTCAAAACTAATATTTATATTTTCGGTTTGTCGTATTTTTTTAAAATTAAAATCAAATTAGCTATCTTAATCAGAAAACAAAGCCGAAAATTGACTGATAAAACCTCAAGTATGTTACAAGAACTTGAGAACCGTCCCAATTCACGAGAACGCAACTATGCCATAACGTATAGAAAGAAAAACAATTTGAAAATAAAATCATTATATGAAACGTGACCTAAAATACATAGAAGTTGCAAATATTATCGCATATTATTGAAATTTGCAGAGATACTTTTTGGTTTTCAATTTGTAGATCTATCTGGGAGTCCATTTTACAAAAAATATTCCTGAGAGTTTCATTCTACAAAGATTATAATTATAATTTTTCATGTTATACAGGGTGGTCAGTCTTACAATGTTGGGATCTCCTAAATGCAACGAGATACAGAGTTGATCAAATGACGGAAATGTTGAGCATTTTAATAATGTTAATTAATTTTAAGTTTTCGAAATATCCTGAAAAAAACTGCAAACATGTATATTTAAAAAATATTTACAGCAAAAAACTATTAATCCGATTTGCATGAGACTTGGGCTACTTACATTTTTAATAAATGCCCTTTTCATGGTAGTTCTTTAATAAGTGTCTAGTATTGCATAGTAACAGTCCACTTTGATTTTTCTTATGGACGCATATTGACTTTTTATCGTACTAAATAGAGAAAAAAAATAGCTTTTTAATGGTGTAACACACTTGGGTAAAAAAGTAATAATACACTTGCAAATGTATTTGATAGTTTTTCAATGGAATCAAGTCTTCATGGGAAATAATTAAATATTTCATACAAAACCGGCTTTTGTACGCAACATATCTTACAAAAATACAAAAATAGTTCGAAGTAACTTCCTCTATGATCAATGCAAAGCTGTGTTCTTCTGTTCATATTTAATACTGCGTCGCGAATGTTTTCTGCCTTAATCGACTGAAACGTTTCCAAAATTTTTACTTTAAAAAAATCTATATTTTGTGCTGGTCTATCATAAACTCTATCCTTCACGGCTCCGCATAAGAAATAGTCAAGAGAATTCAAGCAAGGAGATCGGCTGGCCATCGCACGGGTCCATTAGTTTCAATCCATGTATGGCGAAACCGTTCGTTTAATTATTCTCTAACAATTCGCGAATTATGTGGACCTGCACGATCCTGTTGATACCACCTCAAGTTTCTTAATGTTGCCAGGGGTAAATTATTTAACATTTCCTCGAACTCATTTTGGAGGAAACTTAAATATGTCGGACCATTTAAACGACCAGGTATAATGTAAGGTCCCAGGAGTTTATTATCTAGTAGACCACACCAAACATTAACAGAAAAACGAATTTGTGGCCTCACTTCCTGCACTAAGTGTGGATTCCGAACCGCATAGAAATGTTTATTTTTTCTGTTGAACATTCCACTATTCGTAAATAAGGTTTCATCTGACCATAGTATTTTAGTAGCGAAAGCAGCATCTTCCGGCAGTTGAATTTGAAACCACTGACAAAATTCGAGTTGTATTTGATCGTCTCCTGGATGTAAGTTTTGTACGGGTTGAAACTTAAAGTCGTGATATTTATGTTTCTGGAGCATTTTCTGAGTCCAGATTTTGACAAATTGCAATCTCTAGCAATTTTCCGTTGACTTGTTTCAGCATTAATATGGACTTGTGCCAAAACATTAATTACATTTCGATTACCATTCACGGGTTCTCCTTAAATTCTGTAATGTTCCGAACTGTTCTAGATGAACAAACGAACGCTGGAAAATATTTCTATTTGGTTGCCGTCTTTCCTATATATAGATAGAGTTCCTCATGGTTTCGCGCTGCGTAGACAGAGTTTCGATTGTTGCGCAAGTAACTATTACACATATCGTTCACGTACCGAATATCTTACCATTCTTCCGTGTTGTCCAGTTAATGGATAATAACAATTGGGAATGCAAATTATTCACAAAAATAATTGTACTGCACGTTAAAAGAATGACATTAGTAACTTGAGAACGCAGCTTTGTAAAATGCTGTTTTGGGATAAAATACCGCTTTTCTATCCATGTGCGTTACACCATTAAAAAGCTACTTTTTTCTCTATTTAGTACGATAAAAAGTCAATATGGCGTCCATAAGAAAAATCAAAGTGGACTGTTACTATGCAATACTAGACACAAATAAAAAAAATCGAACCCTACCATGAAAAGGGCATTTATTAAAAATGTAAGTAGCCCAAGTTTCATGAAAATCGGATTAACAGTTTTTTTGCTGTGAATATTTTTTAAATATACATGTTTACAGTTTTTTCAGGATATTTCGAAAACCATGACATCTAGGTTTAATTTCAGTATGGCTTTAAAATAAGCATTAAAATGCTCAACTTTTTCGTCATTTGATCAACTCTGTATCTCGTTGCGTTTATGAGATTCCAATGGTGTACATTGTAAGAGTGATCACCCCGTATACCTACTGCTTGCACAACGATATGCGAAATATTTCAATAAAAGCCAAAACAAGTAAAGACAATGGAATAAAAGCACTTCTCCATGAATTTTAATCAAAAAGTAAAAAAATATATTCGAATGTGTAAGTATTAAAAGTAAAATAACAACGTGGTGCTTATAAAAAATATAAAAATATATTATGTGAATTGTTAAAATAAAAAAATATTTTTTAATTTGCAGACTGAACAACCCAAATCCTTATAAAAAGTAACAATTGACATGGAACATTAATTCCGTACATTTATTTATTTAATTAAATTAAGTGTAAATTCACAAGTAACATTTACGTGGAAGTTTCTCGGTGACCGTGATGATAATAAGTGATCGATGTTGCTTTCGGTTTTTTGGGATGATCGGTTAATAGATAGTGGCAGACGAAAGAGTATTTTTCTTGGGCCAACGTTTCAGCTTTATTTAAGCCATCATCGGGGCTCAATAATTTAGTGCATTTCCACCATGGAATATCCCCTATCCCTCGCTCTGACTGATCAACTCAAAAAACAGAAAGCAGTATTCACATTTACTACAACGTTGTCATTAATTAAATTAAATAAATATCATCGGTTCAAAAAACTATTTATCTCATTTAACGACTTTTCACATAGTGAATTAGCACTAGTTATATACGAAAACAAATACTGTATACGATGTATATTCAAAGTAACGAATCCAGGTAAATTAATGTACTTACACACTCCATTTATCCTTTGAACTAGAGAGTTTTCTAAACCCATAACTTGGGTAGTTCCGTTTACTTTAGGTGATCTATTACCAACGCATAACGAGCTATAAAATATGACAGTGGGGCTTTAAGCACTAAAAAACCGAGTTTATAAATAAATGTTTTGAATTGAAACTGGAGATGAAGAAGGTGCGAAATGACCTGCCAGCTGAAAAAATTTCAATTTCAAGTATGGCCGAGAGTTTCATTGAACAAAATTACCGTGTCTTGCTCCTGCTGACCCTCTGCATTGCTGGAATAGTTGCATTTTGCGTTATTTATGCGACATTTCCCACACCCAGTGTTACGATCAGAAAGATCTCACTGGAAAACGCAAATATTTTTGATCAGATCTCATATTGTGTGAGTTGTAATCTACAATGTGAATTGTTTGAAATGGTAAGTTTAATATAGGAGTAAACAAAGCAACTTTAAAAAATGTTTTAGAACAAAACCAAACCAAAAGTTTTTAAACCGCAATCGACATGCCCTTATCGCAACAAAAAGAAGCAGTTCACGGCCCTTGCTTTACCTCGATTCTATTGCACACTTGAGGATGTTACCAATCCAGAGGCACGTAAAATACCCATTATCTACCAGAAGCAGCTGGCCAAAAACAATTCCAACAACGAAACACAGAGTAAGTATCAGTTTGGAATATCAGCATTTCTTCAAACGTATCTATAGAAGGAACGGTTTCAGGTGCAGTTGTAAATTACATAATCGCGGCTCTGCTGCTCACTTCCTTGGGAGCTGCTCTATTGGAATTCTACAGGGCCAAGACTTCAAGGAACAAGAAAAACGAGTCGAAAGGAGCAAAAGCCCCGTTGAATAAAAAATGCTCGTTAGCTGATCTCACCGTTCTGAAGCATCATCGCAGAGAGCTGGTAAGGAGGGAAAGTATTCTAGAACCGCACTGTGAGGACGAAGGAAACTATCAGCAGCATCAGGGTAGGCGGAACTCTACCCGCCCACAACTGCGACTAGACTAAGGTAGTTGCGGTTGCTGGGTGACTCTGTTGTTCTGTCTGTTGTGCGTATGTGTGTTCACTGTTTGCTTGTTATTTATTTATAATAACTGGACGATTTATTGGGTTTACATTTTTATTTAATTTTATTTTATTTTAATTTATTTTTAACTCTCACTTATTAAACTACTTCTTCTGCCGCTTACGTAACATGGATATTAATCTGCTTTGGATGGAGGTAATCGAATGGAATAATTCGATTAATTCGAATAAAGTGATTCGATTCACAGATTCAAGCGAGTAAATGGATTTTGAGCAAACCGCAGAATTTTCCATATTGTGCGACGAATTTCCATATTAACAAATTATGCGGCTCAAATGGTTCTTGAGACAATTCGAAAAAAACCGCGCCATGTTTTAGCCATTTTTGCTACAAAAAAAACACGCAAATCTAAAACTTCTTGAAATCAAGACTTTTTGGGAAAACTGACAAAATTTCCTTATCGATGGTTCACTTTGTAAAAAGGCTATTTAGTTCTTTCTGGAATGATGTAAAAATTAGCGTTCTTGCTTATTTTGCGAGAAATAAGCAAAAACGAGACGAGAAACATACAATTTTGGTCTAATCTTGCACCTAAATGGTATTCAAATTTCGCTTTCTCGGTCAAAACTACTCGAATTTCCTCAGTCATCTTATTATGACTGAATCGAATTTTCAATTCTCGACTTCGAAAAAAGCAGCGCTAGGTTTGAGTCGACTTTTCAAGTAAAAAAAACACGCAATCTTAAAACTTCTTAAAATGAATACTTTATTAAGAAAAATGCCAATATTTCCTTATCGATGGTTAACTTTCTAAAAAGGTCATTTCGTTCTCCCTAGAATGATGTAAAAATGAGCGCTATTGCTCATTTTGCTTCCGAGAAATGAGCAAAAACAAGACGGAAAACATAAAATATTGCCTAATCATGCACCTAAATGTCTGGTATTTAAATTTTCAAATGCTGAAATTTGTAACACTCTTTACTAACTAAGAAAAGGGACTCTTGTTTGACGATAAAATGAACAGTTTTCCAGAAAATATCTTCTATTTTGATAGATTTTAAATTTGTCACATCAAATAACTAATTGATCTAATTGTTCAAGTAAAAGTTTTTCAACTATGTTTATTGAGGATTGCTAAACTCGCCACAAAATTCCATCATTTTCTTTTATTTAATCGGAATGAGACATGGAACATACTTCTTTGCAACGGTCTTTCCCTAGGTTCAACAGTAGTGAGAAGTGGAATAAACCAAGTTTTTCAGGTGAGCGCCATCGATAAAAATCTAAATCATTTAAATCGGGGGAACTGAAAGGCCAAGATCCTCTAGTGCCAATCCGGTATTTTGGAAAACCATTGCTTAGATGATCAAGATCTTGTACAAGTACAAGAACACAAAAAGAAAAGAGGTCTTACATGGACTATTTGGACTATTTTTTTATTCTTGCCTCTAGCGGTACAATTTTATTGATTAATTTGAAACTTTCTTTTTTAAAAACAACTTTATTTCAGAATTAATCTATCTTCAAGCTCAATTATTATGACATCTAAATTATGCTGATTCTGGCAGAAACGATACTACGTCTTAATTTATAATAACAGTCGGCATAAGTGGCCATATAAATTGTAGATACCTCTAATAAATCTTCAAAATATTTTGGAAAAACTCCAAATAAAGTTGTGCATTGAGACGTAGCGACGATACAAAGGGTCCTATCAAAAAATTCCCAACAAAATTGGTATTAATACCGTAAAATAATCGTAGAATAAGTGATGTTGGCCCATACATGCAAACTATGTGAATTAATAGTGCCATTTTCAGTAAAACCGGGTTCGTACGTGGAAATAATTGTCCCAATAAAGCCAATATTTTGTTGTAGTTGCAACAAGAACAACCAATCCTACTCCGAAAATCACATTGAGTAAGTTCATGCACTTTCTGCAGGTTATAGGGGTACAATAGCTGCATTTGATTGCAAGAAATATTGTTATTTTGGATGCAGTGCAGAACGTTGTAGAAGACTTCGTTGAAGGATCCTCTTCTACAACGTTCAACCAGCATAAGTAATTTTTTTGCACACGGACTTTTCCCTTCAAACAAGCTTTGAACAAATGACTAGTTCATAAATAACAGGTGTGAGAGGCAAAGTTGTTTGGTTATACAAAAAAAGAAAATTTGTAAACTCACATACCTAAATGGATATTTTTTATATATCGGGATAGAAACGAGAATGAGAATATTGTCACTACACCTCAAAAATTACGTTTTTCAAAAATAGGTAAACTTCCTCACTGAAATAATATTCTGTTAGAAAACGGTTGTTTTTATCGATATCAAACAGGAGTACTTTTTTAGCTTAAACTTCAGGCTAGCCAAAAATATTGTCCTTGTGCTATGATGATGGGTGTTAAAAATATTAGCATTAATAATATACAAGCTGATCGGCTCTGACTAACTCAAAGAGCAAAATGAGTTTCAAAAGCATTGGTTTCAGAGGCTTTAATATAATATAAAAGTTATTTAATAAAATCCGATTTTGAGTGGCGTTCCTTAGGAGCTGGTATCTTGGCAGGGAAGGTGTTTTATAGGAGCTTACATTATTATTTTGGCACTCTGTATATGTATACTAAAGCATGCCCATTATTTTCGGGGCACCCTTTATAGGGACTTTTACTTTAAAATATCGGATAAATCGCCTTGTACAGTAGGCATCGGACACTCGTAAAAATGAATACACCCGTTACTTTACGATTTAGGGATATTGATGATGGATTCTCCCTTTTTCTTTCAAAGAACCGAAAGGTTCAGTTTGAATTCTACTTGAAAAATATCCAACTAAGTCATTGTAGGTGATAAGACACTTCACTCACATTCAAACTAACTTAACCATCCTGTTTTCATTTTAAGCCCTTACAAGCCATTAATTGCGTCAGTATTGGAAGACATTAACGAAGAAAAAAGTTTCACCACCAATATTTCTGTCAGGAAACATTTACGAGCAGTTTCTTAATAAAAGCCCACTTTATTTTTGATGCATTCTCACCTATTAAATCTACTGGCGTTCAACCTGGACAACTGTATAAATAAGGATTTATTGCATTTATGCATGATTAGCCTTTATACAAATGTTACTTTATTATTCGCAAATATGTACTCGTATTGTAAAAGTGGTCACTCTGTATATTACATTGGGTGTTGCATGAAGAAATACAAAAACATAAAACTTAGGTATGTTCTTGCAGTCGGTTTAGTAATGTTTATTTTCGAGTTTGTAAGGTTTTGAGTTAAAAACACACAAGATGTGAAGTTCCCAGTCTACAAGTTAAGAGTTTTTATGTGCGTACCAAATTGAGAGTAGTTAAGGGATAAGAAGGAAGGTCTATCTATCAAACAGGAGTTTGATTGCGGAGGACCGCGTCCACTTAAAAGATCCGCATTTTTGTTTAGAAAGTGGAGGAAATACCATAAAACAATGAAGAAAACTTTCCCTTTAACAGAGTCAACACTATTACTCGTAAAAACTAAAACATACTGGAAATCACAGAACTTCCTCTGTGTGTGTTTAATTTTGACTGATCGATTTGCGCAAACTCGTCCCTAAAAGCCATTAAAACATAGGAAAACTCTTGGACAAAAGAAGCTAGATAATAATGTCAAATTGCGGTGTTTTGATATTACTTGCCTACTTAAAAAATCTTCAAAAGCAATAACTGAAAACATTTTTTACTCTGCACTTTTTTAGGTTTTCAACCTTCACCCCTTCAACGTAGATGTTCTTTCCCGGCTTCTCTTTCATCGAGCGATGATACAATATTAGGCAGAGTAGGATATTCGCGCAGAAATTCACGGAAACTATCAATGACTGGTGATTTTCGAAGAAGAATGTCGGCAGTTAACGAAGTGCGGAAGCTCTCAATTCTGCCAGACGATGAGGTTTGGAGAAGAGACAGCCTAATTGGAGAAGATTCTTCGCCGGAGCGTAGAGCCCACCATTCCAGACTTGTGCATAGACATTGAGAGGCAAATTATCTTAAAACCTTCCATTCCCTAACAAAGGGAACCTGAAACCGCTTTACAATCAACGAACATTAAATTTGATATTCAGTTAACTAAGAATGATTTCAGACTCTCTCACTTCTGTCACTTTGTGCTGTTCCATAATTAATTCATATCTTAGAAATAAATAACATATTTTTATAATAACTCTTATCTACAACGTACATATAAATGAAATGAAAATTATATACCTCAATGTCTATGCACATAATAAAATTTATTATATTTTGATAAACTTTAAAAAGTATTTTTAAATGCATTTATGATGACTGAAGCATCTATACATACAGCTGATTTCACCTCAGTATTTGTTATGATCTGGATATTGTCATAATTGCATCCATATAATAATGTGAGACTAAATAAAGTCGTAGATACTACTACTAAAAATTATGACTAATAAGGTATTGTATAAATAAAAACCGTATAAAAAACCAGAAAGAAATTAGCAACAGAATTAAATATAATACAAAACAACTAGGCAAAAATTCATGGTTTTGTAACGAAACAGTGTCTCTAGAATAATGAAATACATATCTCTAAAACACCAGGAGCTTAAGAATGTTTTTTATGAATCAACATTTCAAATTTATACCTACTTTAAAATACATACATTTCGCTTCCTTAAAGGAATATAATCAGCTAAGATATTTCCAAATGAGTATATTCGATTATCCAATTTTGAGTATGCTTCTTTTTTAAATTATTTAAAAATTATTAAAATGAACCACAATTGTGTACCAAAATATTTTAAATTTATTCTGCATTCTGCAAAATTTAAATATTTCCAAAAACCTCAATCACTCACATATTTCATGATTAAATTAGTTTCGCAAACATATTTGATCAATAAATAAATACATATATGTAAAAAATTAATAAAGTTGGAACTCAACATTTTCAACCTGAAAAAGTTACGTGTATAAAACAAACATTAGATTTTTTGGAATGCTTTCCTGTTTCTGCTGTGATCATTGTGGAAATACGAATAAAATAAATAGTAACAAAAAAAAATAGAAAACCACTTACCACTTTCAATTATCCACATTTGGTGGAGGAATGTTCTACATTTATCTCTAAATGCAACATAAACTTTTTGAATATATATTTTTTTAATCCGTAGTTTCCGTCTAAAATGAATTAAAGTCTGGAATTATTCAAGTAAAAGTTAAATAATGTTGGGAAAGAGTGGCAAAATCGAATTTGCCCAATTATTTAAACTAAATAGTAATTCATTTATTGAATTCATATTAAGAATGCACATACTGAAAAGACAACTAGTTATAAGTCATGTATCTGGGAGTTGCTGAGAACTTGGCATAAGACTTGATAACCTTATTAACTGCTTCTAGGAAGTCTTTTTCTGTGGCCACCTTCCTTCTCGCTCGAATTGCAAACATACCAGCTTCAGTGCAAACTGACCGAATTTCCGCACCTGTTGAGTTTGGACACAACCTGGAAAAAATTACCCAATAAATATACAAATAAATCATGGAAATTCATAATCACACGCTCAAAGTGTTGGATAAAGCTAATTCCAGTAATGGCTTTTCCAGAATTACAATTAAAAGTGTAAAAGTAAAAATCAACTAATGAACGTATCTACGAACATCTATAATTATTACACATGAATGAATGAATGAAAAATAATTGACTTCTCTTATCTGAACGATATAACACTTACCTAGCTAGCAACTCGAATCGAATGTCCCTCTCCACACTCATAGACCTGGCGTGAATCTTGAAAATATGCGTTCTGCCTTCCAAGTCGGGCAGACCAAATTCCACTTTTCGGTCGAGACGTCCAGGCCTCATAAGGGCCGGATCTAAAGTATCTGGCCGATTGGTAGCCATCAGAACTTTGATGTTTCCCCTCGGATCAAAACCATCGAGCTGATTGATGAGTTCCAACATAGTTCTTTGTACCTATATATAAAATAAAGGCAAACAGCTTTTAAAATGTTTTCTATTAGTTAATTTACCTCATTGTCTCCACCTGCTCCATCATCAAACCTCGCTCCGCCAATAGCATCAATTTCGTCAAAAAATATTAGACAGGCTTTCTTTGAACGAGCCATTTCAAAAAGTTCTCTCACCATTCTAGCTCCTAAAATTTATCTCATATATGTTTGCTTGATTCTTTGAAGTATTCCATAATTTTACCTTCTCCGACATACTTTTGAACCAATTCCGAACCGATAACGCGAATGAAACAAGCGTCCGTTCGGTTGGCGACTGCTCGAGCGCATAGAGTTTTTCCAGTTCCAGGGGGTCCAAATAATAACACTCCCTTTGGAGGTTCAATGCCAAGCTTTACAAACTTTTCAGGCTAAAAAAGTACAAAAAATTTAATTAAATCTGATGGATTTGAAAACCATTATGAGCATTTACTCACGTGTAGAAGAGGTGTTTCAACGACTTCCCTCAGTTTTTCGATTTGCTCTTTACAACCACCCACATCACTATACGTTACATCAGGCTTTTCCTCCACCTAACAATTGATATGATTATTTATATAATACGAGCGTATTTAGTTAACACAAAAACATCACATTTTACAGTATTTACCTGCATCATTGTAACAGTAGGATCAATTTTTGGCGGCAGCGGAATATGAATTTGATACTTGTTGCGATCCACGCTAAAACATAATATTCCCATTGATATTCTACTAGCACGACAAAAACATTTTCAATTAATACGGTATGAAACTTCGTTTCTCGAGTTAGGCCAGCAAATGAGTGATTTTGTCGCTTTGTGTGTGTTTGATAAAGTACAGATGAAAATGAAATCGAACACAGTAGAAACGAAAAAAACCTACCCAACTCGCATGCCTTCCTCAATATCGGTAGGGGCAACCGAATCGGCTAAGTCCACTACAAACTTCGCAAATTGTTTAACGTTGATGATGTATTTAGGATCATCGCTGTCAGCATTGATGATTTTGGTGCATCTGGCGACTTGAAGCGGTTGCTCATGCTGCAGCGTCTGGTGAAATAACTAGGCATTAACACGCAGCGTAAAACGTAGATCGATCCAGGCCCAAAATGCATATTTTACTATTAAGATGGTACCTAATGGCACCAACTTACAAAAAAAGATGAAAATGCGTTTAGTTTTCAGATATTTTGAGAAATATTTTCTCCTTCAAACAAAGCCTTTACGGGAATTATTCTGGTTCGTATGCATCGAATATTTCACTACTAGAATTGGGCGTATTCCATCAATACCTGCTTATCAGCTGCTAAGTCCCACAATGCTGGAGGAGCCAATCCAGTGTCCGATTCTTTAATGCCAGTAAGTTCGTTCACTCGCTTGATGATTGTCTGAATGTCTTCTTCAACAGTTTTGATGGTTTTTGTGTATTGTCCTTGGCCCTGCATTAAATAAAAATAAGTTCAATAAGAGCTACAAATTCCAACTGAAATGAGTTTGAGGTTTTGAGGTTAATAGGAACTTTGCGCGGAAAGTGTAAATGCTTAATTATTAAAAAAGACAACCTTAAACGGAATTAGGCGGAAAGTTAACGACCGGACTGCTTATTGCCCAAAGTCACTGTTCATTGTTTTACTGGCATGTATGTATGGAGTGTCATAGAAAATGTTACAATTTAATTTTGCAGAAAAAACGTTAGTATGTTAGCCACTACCATGAGTTTTACAGTCAGATCCAACTCAGTACTGAACAAACATGAATGACTATTTTTGTAGATAACTTTCTTTCTTAGCTTGTCTGGATAAAATTTGTAAAACCAATTAAGAAAGTTCTTGGGAAATAATTAATCAGGAGATTTATGATGCGAACCTCATACTACACATCTATTGCGTATATTTAAGCTATCCAACAGATTGGGGGAGTTTAAAGTACTGTCCAGTCAATATAAGTAAATTATCGAGATTTTTAAAATATTCTCTTCAATTAAAAATAAGCTTTCCAAGTCCATACTACAAACTATAAATAAAATAAGTAAAAAATAATGCCCGAAGTGCCTTTGTGAGAGTACCGGTTGTCATTGGTGTCCTAAATAATTCCACAGTGATTTAAACAAATGAGCCGCACTTACATAGGTTTTGAGCAGAGCAATATCACCTTCATCCAGTGCTGAAAATGACAAAAATAAAAGTATTGACAAAACACTAAACTGGGGAATAAGAATAGTTACATTTGATTTCCTTTTCCTCTTGCTCTGGCTCATTTTTCGTTTTTCTCATATCATCCCCTAAGTGGTCTGGCATGGTTACCTATTTAAGTCTAACACTTGATCAAAAACTGAACTTTTTAGAGGCAGATTTTGTTGAGGGAATGAATAAGGAGTTTGTTGTTTTAATGATTACAGGCAAAATTTTCAAAGACATTGACTTTGGCGGCAATGACAAGCGACAGATGTTCCCAACACAACTCACAGCTACGGTTAGTAGATGCGTCATTAAAGCCAAATAATTTTTGAGCATGTGCGATTAAACCACGCACCAATTATCACCAGATTTTGTTCCAAGAGATGATGTTGAGCTAGATGTAGAAATTTAAAAATTGTAAATATTTCAAACTAAGAAAGCTTTAAAACACTTTAACTAAATATAGTGATTAGCTTCACACGCCTACCATGTGTTCGGGTATTACGTCTGTCATGTTCACCATTGTTCAGTCACTTTTGAAGTTTAATCTATTCATTGCCTGAAATTTAGGTTCTTTTAAAGTTTGTATCTGCGTTTGTCACGTTATCATTACCCCATTACCCTTTTCAACCATCGTGGTTTAATCGCAAACCATTAAAATATCATACTATGGCAGATCCAAGAATTAAAACTTTGAAAATTAAAACAGGTGTAGTAAGGAGGTTAGCTAAAGAGAAGACTGTTTACGAGAAGGAAGCCGATCAGCAGAAAAACAGGTAAAATCCCAACTTGATTCGCACACTATTTGCCGTTTTTTATAGCTTTCTGAGCGTAGTTTCTAGAAATATGAAATTGTACATTTTTAATTTTAATGTTGAAACATGCGGATGTAGGAGTAGAATTTGACCGGCTGGTGTTATTTCTATATTGTTAATTAGATTTACGTATTGTTCTCTCAAATCTAGCATCGAAGATGTCTTAATATTAAGAAGATACACTCCTCTTTCATGCCACATCTAAAGGCTTTGTTCCCAGATTCAGTTGAAAAGCTAATTTTAACATTGCTGCCATTCCAAGGTCTCATCCAAAGAAATGTAATTTGGAAAATGCTATGGAAGGTTTTTATGGAGGTGGCAGCCCCTGAACCAACATTCTTTTGCTTCTCATTGTTCTTTTCCATTTAATAGTTTAACAGACGTTAGCAGGGCTACGTATTAAAAACAAGCATTTTGAACCCTATTTTAAGATCCACAAATAGCGTTTTACCGCATCCCTCTGTGGGTCTAGAGAAGTTGTTTGATTTAGAGATACCTATCAATAATGTAAAATTATTTTTACTAAGTTTTTGTAAGATGCTTGTATGGTTCTAATCAAACTTTAATGACTGCTACTATTTGTATTAATTAAGCAATGCGTACTTGATGATTCAATTAGTAAAGAGTATAAGTAATACTTATCGATCGAGTACACTCGATTCTCTGCAATGATTCATACTGATTTTATATAAACTGCTCAACAAATTGAACGTTACACAGCCAAATTTGCCCTAACTTTCGAACTCGATAACTCATGAAATTGAACTTGTAATGAATTGTACTCATGAATAAGTACAAATAAAATCAATTGTTTGTAAATTATACTTAGTACTTCAAGAAAAGTATTTTGCTATATTTAACATTAACATTTAACAACAGGCAATGTTTTTTATGGTAGAATTGAGAAACTCAAGGCAGATAAACGTGACGAGCACGACATTAAGAAACAGGAAGAAGTTTTAGCAGAATGCTTGATGATGGTACCAGATTGCCAAAGGAGATTGTTTAAAGCTTTTGAGGAATTAAGAGGTGAATTAAATATTATGCAAGTTGCCATCATTGGTCAGCACTTCAAAAACGCCCAATTAGATTTAAATACGTTTGCAAAACTCAATGTTGAAGCACGTTTTATATAGAAACATTTGTTAAGCGTTATTACATGTTAGATCTATTTTGCGTAACAAACTGTTTATTTGGCACGCGACCAATTGTGGTTCGTTACTTACCATACCTACTTTCATTCAAATATTTCTCTGAAAGTATACTTTAAAACAATGAACTTAAATCAATTTAACGTCAATCTATATCCAAATTTTATTTATTCTAGGCATTTTGGAAACTGAGCAAGATTTAAAAGAAACAGAAGAGTTTGCAGCTGCTCAAAAGGTGCTTGAAGAAGCAAAACAACAATTGCCTGCTGCTGGAGAGGTTCACATGTGCTAGTTCTCCGTCAACTACTTAAACCGGACAATATTTTTTTACATTTTATAATAATATTCCTAAATTCTTTTCATTAAAAATAGGCTGCGAATTGCTACTAAGAACACTTAGTTTTAATTAATTTTAGTTAATTTTAAATAATTAGTTACGTATGCATTAGGCTTTAATTTTATTAATATTTAACTGTTTGTTTATTAATATTTTCTCGTTGAAAGTGCTTGTTAGTAACTGCGACATGAGTTTTTTCGGGTTTCACCAACCGACCACCAGCCGACATGCTTCTGAAGTAGCTTCACAGATTTTCCAGAAAAACTTGGATAAAACAAATGTTTTAGGTGAGTAGCTGATGCAGTTTATCAAATTTCATTAGATTATCGCACATAACAATTTATTCCAGATGACATATACAATAAGTCTAATGATGAGCTCTGGATTGAAACATGGCTCCAACAAAACAACATCTATCGACCACTTCCAAGCTTTAAAAACATTAATGTTCCTCCGAATGCATTGAATTTACATCAGGCCAAAGCACATTTGTGTAAAAGCGCCAATCTGCTGGAAAAACTAAATAAGGTTGCCTATTTTAAATCAAAAGGAGCAAACACAATAAAGAATTATTTTGTAGATTCATCAAATTTTAGAAGAAAATGCAACGTCGATGTCATCTGAAGACTGGAAGCAGAATATGATAGAAATCGGTACCATGAAGGACGAATTCACAAAATTAATGTGTCAATTCGATAATCCGGAAATATTAACTTATTTGAAAGTATCAATGAGAAAAAGAAGGAAAAAGAGACTGAACGATAGGAAAAGGCGGGATCAAAAATTAATTGAAAAGCAGAGAGCAACTGAGGATCGTAATAAGTTACATCTGGAAATTGATCAATGGTTAAACCATAAGATGGAGGAAGTAAGTCGACAGTAAAAGAGCGTAATTTTCAAGTGGATCAATTGTCGAATTTTTAAGGTGGAGAAGACCAAAATGGAGGAAGCGATGCAAAAGGATGCTGATTCGGTTCTTTCCGAGGTAACCAAGAAAAAATCAGACGCCCGGAAGCAATTGTCACTCATTAGTTCGCTAATAAAGCTGCGAACCGTCCGAGAAAATACAGCAAACCAGCGAGGCGAAAAAACGTCTTTACAAGATCGAAGGGCCTTCAATGTGACTACAGAAAAATTAATCACAATGTGGGAAAATAGTTTTCAGGTGTATTTGAAGGAGGAACAAGGACTTAAGCTAATGCTAGGTAAGCAACAGTATGTAATTGTTTTGAATGTATGCTAACATTGGCAATATTAATCGGCGATCCAGAAAAGAATCAAACGGAAGACTCGAAACAGGCTAAATTAGCAAAGGAGCGCCGGCTTGTAGAGGAATGGAAAACTGTGTTGTTTGGACAATCGCACGCTGTACCTTCAAATCACCCCACATATTGGGCACTGACCGCAGCCGAGAGAGAATTGGAAACATTTATCGCTATTCGGAAAAGCTGGGACACTTTTTTAACTTCTCCGCACAGTGAAAATGGTTCCAAAATTCCCATCGGATGGATTTTGCCTGATCAAAATACCAGAGACGCATGGGAACAATATTTAGATAGAAACGCTTTGTTTTAAGCTTTAAGTCAACTAAATAGACTATAGGAATTTGTTACTTTTTTTAGACGCATTCGCTGTAAGAAATTTGAGATTTGTAAGTTTTGTTTGATTGCTATTTTTATACAATTTGCAGTTAATCGAAAGGTGTTGATATATGTACAAATATTAATACTTTTTGGCGCCATAAATAAAAAAAATCGAATATAGGCATTAGCAAAAAGTCCGTATTTTAAATGTCGTAGGTTACGCACTATTAAAAATTGTATGACGATAATGAAATAGTATTATCGCTACACCTTGCATAGCAACGTGTAAAACTGGACAATCTGGTTATTTAATTTTAATCTTTAGTAACATCTCTAATTAATTATAAAATTTTAACATTTATTTTTGCTAACCAGATATATAAAAATATTGTATTCACATGATCTGCAAATTTAATAACGTAACAAAGGTTTCAGTTCACTAATCTACAATTATAATGGCACAAATCAAGAATTTTTCTATACATGATGGAGACTTAGAAGATTTTCCATCTGTAACAAAGTTTATGTGTATTTATACTTTAATATTTTATTAATCACTATCATTGTCCGACACATCGCCTTCATTTTGATTCCCTCTTTGTATTATCTTTCGTTTGGACCCCATTGAATGAACCCAACACACTTCGACGGATGCGCCTATTTCGTGCAAATATAAAAGCCATAGCGTTTGGTTTGGGGCGAGTTTATCACCTTCGCCTTTCACTTCAACAAACTTGTGAATTTTTTGGTCAATATTCCAAATTAATAGATCAGGCATTCCACTGAAGAACTGATATAAGTTCTTAATTAATCTGAAAAATGCAATATTTTTAAAAATGCATCGCTTCTAAAAACCAGTAAATTGAACTCTTAAGTCAGCCATTGAAATACTCGCCCATCAGCGCACCCGCAGACGAGCAACTTTTGTAGCGCGACAGTTTTGACGCTGAAAATGAACTCATTATTTTAAATACAGTCCAGCACATGAGCAACTTTTTGTAGCCGCGACTAGCATCTGTGAGCGACAGTCGCCGAGAATGGAACCATTCTCAAGGTTAGAGGCAGCGTCTAAAAGACACTAGCGATTGTAGCTTGGATCGAACTCACAGAACTGAACGGGATCAAGCAGACGGGAGACAAAATTGTGGTAGCGTCAGATGAATTTCTTTACTTAATTTGGCTTGTGCCACCATGCCGTTTCGGTACAAGGCAAATTAAGTAAACAAATTCATCTGACGCTACCACCAATATTGTCGCCCGTGCTTGATCCTCTTCAGTCCTGTGAGTTCGAGACAGGACGACAATCGCTAGCGGCTTTTCGACTCTGCGTCTAACCTTGAGATTGGAACAAGTTGCATCCTCGGCGACTGTCGCCGCAGTCGCTAGTAGCGGCTGCAAAAGGGTCCATTTTCAGCGTCAAAACTGTCGTGCAAAAGTCCCTCGTCTGCGGGTGCCCTAACAGTTTGGGACCCGAAATATTTTCCGTTTATAGTGAGGGAGATAATTACTAATAAAGTGATTATGCTGTTTTCAAATTCCGATTCAGAAGGAAATGCCTAATTATAAAAATAATATTGATTATAAATGCATACAAGCCTTCAACACTTCGGAATGAAACGCGCTACTTACGCAAGTTAAAACAAAATTAAATTCTGCAAACGTTTGTGTTTAGTTTCGAATATTCGAAAGCAGTTCCCGAAGCTGCTAATGGAAAAAGAATCATAAGTTAAAACATATTACATACCTTTCAAAAATTTTACTGAGTACCTTTCTGCCAATTACTGTTATCAGAATTTCCACAAGGCTGACGTCTTTAATGATATCCATTACCCTTCCGTCGACTCTCTTGAATATAACTGAACAGCACTTGTGCGAATGTTGTTGATAGTTATTGATTCCGAAGTTTATTAATTCTTCATGGGAAAATACGGTTTCTGCAAATACGCAATATAATTTTCCTCTAAATAGTACAGTTTAAAAAGAAACTGATACTAAATTAGTTAAAAGATGTATTCAATTCGCAAAAATATTACCTATTTGCATCAGACGCATATCAATAGCACCTTTTCGGTTCTCATAAAAATAGCGAGTGAAAAAATCCAAAGGTGCAGACTGCCATTTACTGATAAAACTTCCTCGCACCACAATTTCTGGATTGTAAATAATATCCCAGAAGTAAAGTATTAATAAGGCTTTAATTAATGAGCCTTCACAATGCGATCCAGCAGGATAGCCGCAACTAAAATTCGTCAAAACAAGCTTATGTGGTGAACAATGTAAGCGGCTGCATATTTGAAGTTATTTTTATCACTTACTTATCCGATCAGAATATAAAATAAATAACAATATATTTAAATGAACTGAAAATTACTTGCGATTAACGTGACAAAATTACAATAAAATAAATAAATAACGAAATTACTTACTCTTTATAATGCTCTAGAGCAACGTCTTCTACACTAACCGCGGTTGTTTCTCCATCAGACCTTAAAAAATATGTGCGTTTTCGGCCGGAATTATTTGATCTTATACATTTTGCATCTATTTGCTTTCCAGGAATATGTGAAATTTTTGATGTTCTTGAAATCAATCTAACCAACCTGCAAAAAGATGTTTCATGTTGAAATGAGGTTCCTATCCTAGTAATCGAAATGTTATTAAGAATAACTGCAGTTACTTACGTGTCGTGATGTAGTTGGTGCAACTGATATTTTGTTGTCGGTTTCAACAACTTGCGCCCCAACTCTTCCAATTTAAAAACATCTTTCTCGAGAAATAAGGGTTTCTTTTTATCAAGAGCTTCAATTAAAAACTCAGCGCTCTAGAATTAAAAAGAATTAATGGTATTTTTGTTCCTGTTTGTTGGCAATAACTTACTGTCCGGTAAAACATACGATCCAGATGTCGCATATTTATCCATATCAATAAATGATACCAACCGCCTAGTTTTGTTGAATTGGGAAAGGTCTCAATTAAATATTGCAGCCATTGTTTTACTTCGCTTGGTTTGCCCCTTGCTTTAGTAAAGAGTTTCTGGCAACAATCCGACAATATTTTGCAATAGACGTACTTGGAAGTGAATTTATTCAGATGAGGAGCAGATTCATGTACGGGCTCATTGCGCATAGACACATCACGAAGCTTTGCATACGCATCTGTTGCAATACTGTATATTACTAAAAACGTTAAAAAGCATTAAATGTCATGGGTAATTCACTCAAGCCGTTCAACTGACCATGAGTAACAAAATAAAACCGTACAGAATATTACAGTATTTTTTTTATCAAGTTTGCCATCTACAATGATGGACAAAATTAGCGCACCACCTATAATTTCAAAGATTTTTTTTAAACTCAACCTGCTTTATCAAAACTCAAATCATTGTTTTTTAAATTAATATCAGAACGTTTTTGAAATAAAAAACAAAACATGAATCACTAGTTTATTGGGGTTTTGATAAACATTGATGAAAAATTCATTTTGAAATTCCGGAAAAGTTTGCCTCTTTAACTGTTTTAGAAGCGTACACGTGTATTGCCGCTTCTGACTCAAATAACGTCCCTCAAACGTCTTGGAATGCCATAAAAAAAGTTTGTAATTAATTCTTGGGGTATGTTGTGCCATTCTGGAAGAACCGCGTTTCCAGTTCAACCAAGTTTTCGTGGTTTGAGCTGATCCCAAACATGTTCAATCACGTTAAGGCTTTATCATCCATAAAGAAGATGTTGTCGCCTATGTGAGGTGCAACAGGTGCGACATAGTTTTCTAAAATCTCTTGAATGTACTTCTGGGAAGCTAATGATCTTCGTCGAATCACTACAAGGTCCTTACGGGCCTCCAAAGAAATGTCATCGTAAAACATTATTGAGCCACCACGGAAAGCCAGATGGGGAACCATACATGCTTGGATGTATCGTTCTCCTGGTCTTCTAAAAATAAAAATTCGCCCATCCGAAGATTTTAAACCCACTCTAACTTCATCAGTAAACAAGACTTTCTTCCAGTCATCCAAATCCAAATCCACGCTTTCTCGAGCAAATTCAAGCCTAGCTTGCTTGTGGACTGTGGTTAAGAGAGGATCTTTTGCGGGATGTTTTGCACTCAAATCGGATTCATTGAGCCTTCTTCTTACCGTTTTGGAAGAAATTGCAACATTTCGGGCATTTTGAATTCGATTTTTTATCTCATTTCAATTTTCAAAGGTGTAATGAACACCCAACCTCTGGGAGACCTCACGTTGGAAATACCCTCCTTCCAACAAGGTGACAATTTTAACCGCATCAGACTCACTTAAATTTCTTCCCGGGCACATTTCAATGCGAATACACTTTATTACACACACACGTTAGGAAAAAGCATGAAAATTGAATCGAAAACAGTACCACACTTGCTGACAACAATGCTGAGGTGTTGCAAACAACGCAAAACAAGTAGAAACTTGCATTGGAATGAATAGAAAGGGATCAAAAACAATTTGTACTGTACAATGTTACGTTTTTACCAGCCTACTTGCAGAGAAAAAAATATTTAATCGAAAATATATAGGTGGCGCACTAACTTTGTCCATTGGTGTATTATTTATAGATACAAATCGAAGGCAAAATCAGAAAAATTTAAATTTTCAAACATACCTGATATTTTATTATTTTTGTGATATCCAACCAAATGACTCTCTAAGTCTGTTTTAATCTTTAGAGCTTCGGCGTATCTTTCAAAGCTTAATATAGAATGAAAAACCGGATAGGACTCTATGGGTGCTGTCGGAAAAATCAAGTCAAAACGTCGAAAGTAATCCTGGATATCTGAATAAAATTCAGTGAATGTGGCCAACACATATAATTTATTGAATGCGTCACAAATATCAGGCCGAATTTGATAAGCGTCTCCTAATTTCTTAAAAGCGAGTATGCAGTAAGGGATCTCCAAAAATGTAACTTTTTACCTTATGTATTTCGGATAGAACTCTGTCCTTTAGTGTTTTAACACCGATTGTGGATTGTCGTCTAGTTGCTGTAAGAACAGTTGCAATCAGTTGCATTTTTTTCCTTGCAACGGGAATTATTCGGAGTTGGTTCATTATTTCTTTGATCTGACTCACATCCATTTGGTTCAACAATTCATTTAAGTCGTCAGACAAGTACTCTGCGTAAAAGAGAAAAATAGTTGCTACAATTCCAACAAACTAAATATTTTTAGTAACCGCAGAGAAATAAAACCATTACCACTATCGAGAAAACCTGCACTTTGAAGATTGCTAAATAAATGAAGTTTGTCTAAATTCTCATCGAATTCGATTTTGGCTTTGTTGCAAAATTTGTATATGTTGTACCATTGCTTCTTCCAAACGAACAACTTCATAACTACATATTGTTGTTCGGTAGTCAACGTTTTAAAACGGTTCAAAACCGAACAGTTTTGTAGTAAATTCCTAAAAAACATAGATTAAAAAGCACCTTAGAAATAATTTGCTTCTACAGCGCTTTTAATTATTCTGATAATAGAAATTTATTTTTGACTAAAAACATACTAGAATTCAAGCTTTGTTGAATATAAATACACTATAAGAAAAAGAAATCCTGAAAAAAAATTATTTTGCTATTTAATTGGCTTTCAAATTTGATCAAAGTAACATCATGCGAAAACGCTATGATTGATCTGACATCACAGTACACGATTGGCCTGCACGTAGCCCATGTGTTCATTTAAATGGTATACAGGGTGTCCCGTAAGCACATGATCAAAAGCGTACTGCTATATTATTTGAATAAAAAAAGAGGATCTGACCTAACTTTTCAAAAAATTTATCTTTTTCAAATATCGGGAGAATGGTACCATGTATTTTGGTAAAACTCACTGTAAATGTGTTCTTATGTAAGACTCATATTTTGATGCAACAATCGAGTTCAGCCGTTTTGGACAAGTGGTGAATTCTTGAGTGTGGTGATACAAAAACTACCAGAACTTTTTATTTGATGGATGGAATCAACTCATTTTTTTTATTGATGCACTAATCCTTTGTTCACAATTTTGTGCTCTTTGTAAAATCTTGTAGTATTCATAGTTTTTGCGCGAAAAAATATGTCTGTTTTCTAGCCACTTAACAATGCTAGACATTAACTGCAAATATGTGCCGCGTAAACGCGTAAGCTTTCAAGCAAGTTGTCTTCGCAAAACCCTAATACTTTGACCATGTCGGTCACTTCTTCATTCAAAACGAATTTGTGAGATTTATTGACAATTATTTTATGCCTCGTATCACGATATTTTCAGTTAATATCTAACATTGTTAAGTGGCCATAAAACAGAAATTTTTTTCGCAAAAACCATGAATGCTACGTGATTTTACAAAGAGAACAAAATTGTGAACAAATAATTAGTGCATCACCCAAAAAAAATGAGTTTAATTTCATTCACCAAATAAAAAGTTCTGGTAGTTTTTGTACCACGACCCTCAAGAATTCTCCACTTGTCGAAAACGGATGAACTCGATTGTTTCATCAAAATATGAGTCTTACATAAGAACAAATTCACAGCGAGTTTCACTAAAATACATCGTACCATTCTCCCGATATTTCGAAAAAGATATTTTTTTGAAGAACTTTGACCATCAATAGCAGAGGAGCCAGAAAGTTTTTGTTAATAAAAGTTAGGTCAGGTCATCTTCTTTTGGTGCAAAGAATATCGCAGTATTCTTTTGATCATGTGCTTACGGGACACCCTGTATATAAACTTCTGTACAGTTACCTCGGCTTGTATTTTATGGAGTTGTTTTATTAGTTTATTTTTATTTTGTGGAAAATGACTGATGAAGGATTTTTAAAAGCACAATCAGATAACTTGCCATTGGTAGATTCGTTCAAGGTGGCTGAGATTTTTAATACAAGCGAATTGTTTACATTCGTTGAGCAACATGGAGTTAAAGCCAAAAGGAAAGCGACATTTCTGCTTTAGATTATTTGGTTTCTGAATAAAAATTAAAAGTAATTGCTATTTACAATTTGGCGGAAAATGCTTGAAATACCATTGTTAATCTGGAAAGATTTATCTTATTTTCCTAATCTACATCTAGTATGAGCAGCTGAGGCGAAAAGGTGATATTTGCATGGCAAAATGTAAAATATGTCCAAGAGTCTAGAGTTCGTTCGAGAAATTATTCTATTGTCATGGTGAACGAAAAAAGAAACAAATAATGAAAACAGAGTGTATAGACTGCGCGACATCACAAAATAAAAAGTGAAGACACTTTTTCGTGGTTTGTATAGGGTCATTGGTTATAATTTATAATCACAGAAATAAAAAATGAACAATATAGAGGGTATTACGTTAAAAAAATATGTAAGTTTGGATTGTTACGTATTTTTGAATGAGCACGTTAAAACGGGTATACATAAAAATGAATTTAATGAAAAACTCCTGATTAGCTATACATTTAGTATAGTAGTGTTCAGATTGAATAAAAAAACTACTGGACTGCTGGATTTTAACCAGTGAAGTACAGAGAGGATAAAAAAGTTTAAATTGCAAATATTTTCTGTTTTGTCCTTTCTGGATTTTCTTCAAACGGATAAATTTTTCGCATCAACGATTGATTCAAGAACTGAGCAAAAATACAAGTTTTTGTCAATATCTTTTTAGAAACTTTCACATTTCGTCATGCCAATTGCAGCCACAGTTTTATACGTTTTTCGTCCAAAGCACGTTTATAAATGTTTTTTCTGGTATAGACACCGTAGTACTGCTACACTCCGGCACCATACAATATTTATAAGCCATTTTGTTCAAATCACCAACTAAACTCCACTAAGCACCCATTAAAGTTGGTTTGAAAAAAAAGTAAACGCCGGCACCACGCGAATCAAATGCAAGCCGATATCAAACTCTGGTGTGACGTGAGCCGTATAGCAAGTGCAACCGGGTCGTTTTGGCGCGCTAAATAGAAAATTAAATTTAGATTACTTATAACTTCCTTAAAAGTACTGTAAAATCGAAAAAAAGTAGAACAGTTCTTCTTCAGCCCGTTTCAGTCCACGCCTGAATATAGGCCCCTTCCATTTGTTTCCATGTCGATCTATCTGTGCTCACATCACCACCCAAGCGTTGAATAGTTGCAGTCCAGACAAATTGTAGTGAAAACGCTTCAAATTAACTTTTCACTTTTGTCTTTTATTGGTAATAAATAGTTTGTGTGCCACCCACAGAAAATTCGGAGCCGTTAAAGCTGTTCTGGAATGGTCTATTCCGCGCGAGATGACCCGCCCAACGCCATTTACTTCTCGCACTTTGTTCCACCGCGTCGCTGACTTTGGTTTTCGTCATGATATCTTCATCATACTCGTCTTTATCTATGATCTTCATTCGTTTGCCTATTTCTCAAACTAATTCCGAGCATTGCTCCTTCCATCGCACGTTGGCAGATTCGCAGTCATTGTACTCTTTTCTTAGTTTGGGTAACTGCCTCAAGTCCGTGAAACATGACCGGCAGCACGCACGCATCATACACAGGACAGTTGGTTGACCATAAATGAACAAAATAAGCAAACAAAAAAAATGTGCAAAGACCCTATTATGTGTGATTTTTATACTATTCGGAAACCAAGTTCGCTGGTCAAGTGGAATCCAATATATTAAAAGGATTATTTAGTGTGTGTACTAGTACTAAGTGTATATCTCTACATGTACATCCCGTATACAGAATGGATAAAATAAAACTCTTTTTAACTAATCAAATCAGTTATGTCACATAAAATAGCGGTTTTCTTAATTACAACACACCTGAACTTTCAAGATACATTTATTAAATCCTACTCACCTCAAATGCATATTTTTCTCAACTCTTTCGAATAAATCCATGAATGCCTTAAGCTGTTTGACTTGTAATTGTTTGCCTTCTTTCGCCTTTAGTTGTTTTACTGAATTATTTTTAGAAGGGCTGGATATAGGACTTTTTCTCATCGAAGTCTGGTTAGAAACTATCTTTGGTGTTATACATACGTCTTGTTTTATTATTATGTTATTCCGTTTCTTGGAACTAGTCGGTGTAGAGCACGACTGTTTTCGTTTCGATTCATGTATTGGGCGACTAGTTTTGGTTGGTTCTGGAACGCCTCAAATAGATAATTTAATTAACTAATTTTTCATTTGGAACACGTGAAAAATGAGAACAACAGAAAATAAACGAAGTTAAAGGTAGATACTTAGAAGAAATCAAAAAATGCCATTAATATATGGTACGGACATGTGAAGCGTATGGGGGAAGAAAGACGAAGAAAGAAAATATTGGTTGGAAAACCTTTTGAATGACCGCGAAAACCAACTATTTTGATTTAATTTTATTTCCCTCACAAATTTCTCAAATGCAGTAGCTAATTGATGTAAAAAATTGTCTTACTTTTTCAATTAAAGGCTTCTTTAAATATCGGCACCATATACAGTTTCAATCTGGACATTTCAGTGCTTATAATGTATGCAAAGCAAACACGTCGTATGCTGTATTAAATTATAATTCAAATACTTACAAAAAAGTACTTACTATCTAAAAAAATTGCTAACATACTACCTAATATAAATCAACAAACAATAAGGAAGGAAAAATAATTAGAATATAAAAACAGATATATGTACCTAAATTATAAAACATTTAGAAAAACAAACAAGTACTTGAAGCGATAGCACTATACCTACTGATTATAATTAATTTTGTGCCAAACTACGCAAATTAAATAGGAATTGGCTTTTTTTTCTTTACGCTACACGACATGAAAATCCACACAAACTTTAAAGATTCAAACCAGACGAGTCAGTTTCAATACTGGGATAAAAAAATAAATAAAGATTCACCCAAAAAATCAGTGTAAAAGAATTAAGTAAATTCATGTCAACGAATTTACATAATGTTCATTGTTTTTCGGCGGAACAGTTTCCACAAATTTTGCAAGTTGAAAATATACAGGGTGTGCCGTAAGCACATCAAAAGGTACTGTAACATTATTGTGGCTGAAAAGAAAATGATCTGATCTAAGTTCCAGAAAAAATGCCTGGCTGAGTGAGTGGCCAGTGAAGTGAAATGTGGTATCTTTTCCTTTGGAAAAATTGCAACATCAATGAGGCAAAAGTGGTCGAAAACCACTAAGAAAAGTTATTAGTAAAGGGTTTATCTATAAGGTAAACATACTGTTAACTTCAAACTAGCGGGCGAATCAAGTGGAACATTACGAAAACTAGTTTTACATGATGTTATGGTTTAGACTACAGAAAAGTACGTTGTATAAACTAACGCCCAATTCGTAAATCTCAAGCACTTACCCTCGCCATTATTGCATGTAGATTCTGGCTCCGAATCACTGCTCGAAATCTCGAAACTAATCTCGTTTAACAGCGTAGGTTTTTCCAGTTTAATAGAGCTTTTCCGTTTTAGGAATACTTCACTTAAAGTAAGTTGCCTGAGTGTAACCTTTGCTGGTGACTTCGCCATTGCGTCCATATTCAGAGAAAAACAAACTTTCTTGTCTCTGCTTGCTGCCACTAATTGAAAACAAAGGGAAAACCTTTCCAAGGCTACGCCCAATTATAATTAATCAAATCGCACATTGCGATAACGATAATATTGAAACCAATAATATGAGTCAGTCAACAAATACAACTTAACACTTTACATTCTCACGTACCCAACATTAATGATCAAATTATATAAAGCCCAAGTACTCTGCCCTAAGGAAATGACAGAAATAAAATTTCAGAAAACACTATAAAACATACACAAGCAGAATGTAAACACACCATAGAAACACTCAAAAAATAATGTCAAGGTCAATAACTTTGCCTGATTTTTAGGTTAAGGAAGGTCATTTGCATCTTGATAAATTTGTCAACGCTGGAATCGTGCAGCGATAAGCTGTAAAATATTGAAGACAGTTTTTTGTAAAAAAAGATGTCAAAGCTTGAAGATTCACGTAAATTCACTCGATTTATTTTTGCCAGTACAGAACAGACGCCAGTTTGAATAAAAGGCAACTTTTGAAACTTCAAACTAAATTGACACTGGAAAAATCCTAATTTGTCAACAAAAACATTTCAAAAGCGAAATGGAAAGCATTTTCAACGATTTAAGCTGTGCGGTAAATAACAAAGACTATACGGAAATAATTAGAATCCTTAATTGCTTAATAAAGCAAGCAGATAAGGTCAAAATCAAGGAAATCAGTTTATTCATCGCATTGTTTAATTTAGGATCTCAGAGTGTTCAAATTGTGGCTGCTGAAGCTACTGCAGAATTATGTAAATGTTTAGAAATTAGACGAGTTTTTACAAATGCAGAGCTTGTGAATATACTTATGCAGTATGTGAAATCAGGTAAATTTAAGTAAGCTTGTGATAATTTTAACTGTACGAAACAGGCCCAGATTTTTCTCGCAATTTTTCGTACCTAGTAGGGTACTTACAGTCTGTGCAGATGTTCTTAGGTCATGCTTTCGCGTAGAAGGAGGCAAACACCCATTAAAATACATCAAAACAACCAAAAAAGGGAATTTATTCCCCTTAATAGACCGATTGTTAATACACAAAAGAATTGTTGGAAGAATGTGAAGTTGAATCATGACTGCTTTTTCTCTCCACATTGGGTTACTAGATGGAGACCCGCCCTGTATAGAACGTTGAAAAATTCGTCAATCTTTTCTCATTATTTGTTAGCAGAATATTAATTTCTACGTTATCTACTGACTGATGGTGTTTTCGTTTTAGTAGCAAAACAAGAGCAAGGAAGATTTTTTATTTACACCTATAAATTAAAAGAAGTTACAACACGCATACACTTTATAGGCGTTTTCGATTCTTTGTATTTTGTTAATCAGAGTTAAATTTTCTGGCAAAAGCACAAATTCGTAATATGTTTGTCACAAAAGATAAAAGCAGCTTATTTCTTTCTTGAGTGAGAGAGGCTTTTAGGTTCATCCATTTAAAACATAGGAAATTTTCAAAAGGTTTGAGCCAGTTTTTTAAATATTGAATTGAATTATTGATATCTTATTTCAACCACAGAATTATTTGAACGTTCAATTGTTTCTATATTTGTGTGAAAAACAGACGTTAAAGAATGAACACAGAAAAGATAGGTTTGACTATCTAACTATGATTTAAGTATATTCGGTGAATTTTGAGACAAAAAGTATATCGTAAGGGCTTCAAACATTTCAGTGGCGGAAGAGAAAAAATAGCAGTTGACGTGGTTCAGCTCGTACCGTATAAATACTCAAGTATTTTGAGATAATTATTTCCACATCAACTTTTAATTTATCACATCACCTCTAGTGCACGGTATTATTAATTACAAAAGATGGGCAATAAAATTTTGATTCGATGTAACGATGGATTTTAATTTGTTAAAAACGTTTTGTTTACCTGAATAATAAATAAAATTAAAGCTTATGAGACTCGAAATCGAAATCCGCCGAAAAAGTGTAGAGCACACTTTAAAACAGGCTCAAAAAATACACCAGCAGTACTCGCTTTAAATCATGTTTTCCCACATGAAAATCTGTAAGCTCGTAATGTACGTAAGTAGTGTGTTTTGATTAAAAAATATATTTTTTCATTAACACACTAAGTACCTGTAAGTATAGAGCGATTTCTCAAAAAGTGTCCGTTAAATTTGAAAGATGCTTGTCCTTTTCCTATGACTATTTAACGCACTGATTTTTACTATTAAACGCATTGCCCGAGCATTCTTTCAGATTCTCCTGAGCTAACTTTGGAAGCGGTTAGAGCATTAGGCAACATATGTTACGAAAATGAAGACGCTTGTAAACTAGTTGAAAAAGAAGGCATTGATAGTATATTAACACTACTTAGAGATGATTCCAAACGAGAAGATGATAACATAACAACCAAAGTTTCCGGGTTATTCGCAACGTTAATAAATATGAATGATAATGTACCGAAAGCTGCGTTAGACGGAGGCATTTTGACAGTGGTAGAGCATCTTTTACTCAAATATAAGGTAGACTCAGTACCATTGTGAAGAAAGGCAGTTTGTAATAAAAGTGGTTTTGCAGGTCTCTATTGCAGAGCACAAGACTGCTATTGCATTTCTTTTAAGTATCGTTGATTCTCTGATTGATTATATCGATGACGTGGAATTCGTTTTTACGGAACGATTAGGAAAAATAGTTGTGGATATATTGAAAGGATCCGAAGTACCAAGAATTTATGTTTTGTGTCTGTCGATTTTCCATGCGTTGTCAGAGAAAGATGAAATTAAAAATCTGTTAGGAAGGGAAGGAATATGTGAATTGCTGTTTGATTTGATCGAAAAACATAGGTAACATCTAATTATTCAGCATGAGTTGAAATTAATTAAATAAAAAATTTGGTAAGAAATAATTATTAGTTTCAAACTAAAATTATCTTTGAATGTAGGCACAGAGTGACGGACGAGGAAAGTCGGTATATATTAAAAATGACTTGCGATCTCATTGTTCTTATTCTAACTGGAGATCCCTGTATGGATCTTTTGTATAATGATGGCAAAGGAAAAATGTACGCAAATATACTATCATGGCTGGATGCCGAAGATTCCGATTTATTAACTACAGGCAAGTGAACCAGCTATCCACAGCAGTATGTTTATAGGAAGATTTAATTTTTTTAAAGGAATACTGGCAATCGGCAACTTTGCGAGAAAAGATGTCCATTGCATACAAATGGTAAAGGATGGCGTTGCCAAAAAACTCATTGAACTTCTTAGAAAGTGTAATCATTCCACGGATATTAGCGATTGTAAACTGCAACATGCATTATTGAGTACTCTGAAGAACCTGGTTATTTCAAAGCAAAATAAACCGCAGGCAAGTAAACAAAAGATGTCCATTTTAGTGTATGTAGATATTTTTCTTCAGAAATTCTTTTTCATGTCGGCCTAAAAGCTTGATTTATAGTTTTTATTATTGTTATAGGCATTAGAAGACGGCATAATCGAAGTTATGTACCCAATGCTAAATCAGGACAGATATATGGTCGTTTTTAAGCTTTTGGGTACATTCAGAATGGTTATTGACGGCCAACCTGAAACCGCACATTATTTATTATCGAAAAAAGATTTTGTGGAAAGATTGGTATACTGGTGCTATAATTCGGACCATGTGGGCGTTAGGTAAGTTTCATTCTGCGACTACAAATTACATTCAGTATATTTAGTTTTCGGAATGCTTTGAAAATTACATAATAGTGCGAACGTTCATTCATGTTTACTCTTAGAGGTGAAGTGCCCAGAATCTTTAGTTGGTTGATAAAAAACACCCACTCTTCTGAACCATTTGCAACCTTTGTATCGGTGAAAGATAGTGTAAAATGCATCGTCGATATGATTGCATCGAATTTTGGGCTGATGCATAATGAATCGTTTCTCGCATTAATCATATTACTCAGTGGTTTGAGGAATACCGAAAAACATTCTCAGGTATGTACGCAACACTTGATGGTCAAATGAAAACGTAAAGTCCAAACTTTACCATTAAGCGTAGGTAATTAATTTTTATATTGAATAGGTGGATGTGGATGCTTTCTATAACACGCTTTGCGACTCAGCGTTTGGAAAGAATTTGAGTTTTGCGTTGAATAAATATGGGGAACAGTGGGACAAACACACAATCGAAAACTGCTTAACTTTACTCGAACAAACGAGTAGCTCGGAACAAATTATTCAAGAGCTACAGAAGAACAACGTTGTGCAATCCCTAGACAAACTGAAATCGAACGTCAACGCAACGGAATGTGCTAATAGGGTGGATACATTGTTGATTACATTAGCTAAATAAATCGAGGTGATATCTGAAGTAGTATTAATTGTGTTGAGACATTAACAAGTTGGATTACATAATCAGTCCTTATTTGTTTGATTTTAGAGTCGAACATTCCGCGCATTGTAAATGTGTAAAATGTCGGTTTTAATTATTTTGTATCCTTGAATATTTTTACAATGTACATTTTGATCCAATAATAATCTTAATAAGCATAATTCTGTAGATTCTTATAAAAACAGGGAAAGTCATTATTTATCCAATCAAACCATTCATGTTAATAGTTGTTCACTTTTGATACCTCGCTTTATTCCTATTGTTTCTTAGTCAAAACGGCTTCTTCTTTCGTTATCTCTGTAATTCGCAAAATCGCTGAAAGTTTTTGATTAAATAGTGTTTTGTATGAAATGGTGCAACGTTTAAAAGGTCATGTTATGTAACCAGAGGCAATAAATTTCATTCTAAAAACATCACGCCTGTGATGATCGTTTAGAACATAGTAATATACTGTCCTAAATATTTTCTGCATCGACTAGAAATTTTCAATTTTGAATGTTTGATTAAAGATACTATTTTTCATAGTTAAATGTCGGTTTAAATTTGAATTTTAAACATCTCTATTTACGCTAACGACAGATAGCTCAATGCCAGTTCCGAATGAAAACAGTTTAATTTATTTAAGAAAGTATTTCCTTGGTTTTTATGGTTAAATTGGCTTCATTTTCAAAGTAATGCTATTTTATTTTTTGTAAGCTAATACACCGAAATAATTGACAAGATTTGATCTCAGTTAAGGTACTGATCATTTGCATTTGCTAGAAAGTTACATATTTTACAAACAAACTAATTATAAAAGTAAAAACACAAATGTATGTGTATTAGAATGTATAGCTCTGATATAGTACACATTGTTACCTTTTATATACAATTAAAAATGTTTGCACTAATATCTAGACTATCGTTTTACTAGTGAGGTATGTCGAAATGAATTAATTCATTCTTATTGGTGTACATACACATTTCAATATGATCAGTTTAGTGGGACGCCATATAATATGCAACCGCGCTATATCGCTAATTTGTATTATGTAAACTCACATAACGAATTTGTTCAATTATTTATAATTAGTTTTTTAGCCAAAACTACTGGCTCTCAAATAGAGAGTAAGTAGTTTTGGTGTCAAAAATCGGCACGAATTATATAAGTTCTGTTGTATCTAACTAGTAAAATGGGAAAGTATTTTCTATTGTGTGTTTATTAAAAATCCTCTGCAAGAAGGTCTTTGTGGAATACACAGCAGGCAAAGTTAAATCAATCAGGTGTTACGAAGGCAAAATCCGACTATAATTGACTTTCCTATCTGAAAAAATACTCAATTGCAAATTTAAAGCCAACAATGCCCAGTATGGTCCATGTCGAGTTATTGTTAATCTTTCAATCTGAAGCCATAAAATGCGTTCTTGCGGTGATTTTTTATTGAGCATTCGTCGTGTTAATGATAACGTTATTCATTACTAGACTTAAAATATTGAGACCAAATGTTATCTTTAGCTTCTAAGGCTTTTGCAACTTTACCTTTATAATAAATACAATTTTGTCCTTTTAGATATAGTAGAGTTTCTATTTATTGAAAATAAAGTATTTTAGTAAGATTTGATACCTGTATTTTCAATATCTTCCTAATTAGAATATTAACAAAATCAACGATCTTCTAAGAATTTATTGAATATATTACATGGTCAAATTCAAACTTGCATATAAATATATCTCTTCTACACTATCTACTAATCTACTAATCTACTTATATCGTATGTAATGTATTTATAACTAACTGCTAGTACAACACCCCCTTATACTGAGTGTCCCACTGGGAACCGCCGCGATCGAGATCTAGCAAACTATATTAGGAGAAAATTGAAGAGTGTGCCGAAGTCAATGTTTATAAAGGCAACCAGAAAAAATAGAGAACCCATGATTTGAAAAAAACTGGTTGTTATTCTTCATATAAAAATAATTGATAATATATAAACGGTGCTTGATATAACTTTGTCACATTCTCCATAAATAATAAATAAGTTTAAATAACATTTGTTTGTACAATTTAAGCCTCTGGGCATGATTACTAATTGTTTTAAAAAGGTAAGTGACAGCTGAAAACATTATTTTGATATTTGATTGTATTAAAAGTGGCCACGTTCGACATGCAACTAAGAGTGACAGTATTTAAAATAAGATGCGACAAAATAGCCATATGAAGACATTGAATTGACAATATTTCAAAAACTAACCACTTTTGAAATAGCAAACTATACAAAAACTAAGATAAAATTATCAAAAAAGTGAAAAAATTCACTTTGGGCGGTTGTATCAACGTCATTTTGAAACTTATTTTTTTAACACTTTGTATTAATAGTTATCGAATTTCGATTAAAGTAAGTAAGTCATTTTCAACAAGAAATGCGACTAAAATTAAGAAACACATATTGCATTAAAAGAAAAATGAATAATTATTCGAGTGGCTGCAACTGTCATTTTTGACACAAAATTTCAAATACATCAAAAACGGTTGACTTCCGCCAACTGTTCAAATTTTTCCTAATTAATTTCTAATTTCTCTGTGGGACACTCTGTATAGCTTGCACTTAATACTACTTTGGACGGAAGTTGATATACAGGAGTCTAGAGTTTAGACCATAAAATCGCTTAAAACAATGTAAAAGTGCACTTCATAAGACACTGATTTTTATTTTTGATTTGTTCACTGCTCATAGCCACTTTAACAATCTAAACAGTTTGAAGGAAAGCGAATTTTCTTTTATTGTAAAGGCAAATTTTGAGCACAACGCTTATTATGAGCAAACATATATTGCCAAAAATCTTCTAAATTTTTTAAAAGTTTCGTTATTTGAGCGTGTATAAAAGAGTTTGAGCCGACATTGAGCAACTTGTGTGTCAGTTGATACCGATATCACGATATCAAATTTAAGTGATTATAAACTAAATAATATAATAGATCTTTAAAATTCTAGGTCTAACATCTAGGTTGAGTTAACTATACAAAAACCATTTTCTACAAAACCACACATTTTAAGAATGGCCACACTGTGTGTTGAGCGAAGGCACAAAAACACTCGGTGTTATTTAAAATTGTAGTAAGTAATACTATGACTAGAATATTTATAAATCTACGAGAAACATCATGTATCATTGATTTTAACTTAATCTAATACCGAATTAATGTATAATCAAAGTTCTGGAAATTTTTATAATTGATTAAGCAGCAATTAACGAGATATATGAAAATCATATGCAAACTGAAATGGGGATGCAAATGACCGCAGAGAAAAGCAACCATATATGTGTAACAGAAACGGCATTGAAATAAGAACATATAAAAGAAACTTCATTACTGCATGATTTGCCTTTGTGTTAGGCAAATATTTATGTTATTTACCATCAAAATAGACACCATACTTTTTAATATCGAAAAAATAATTTAGGTACCAAGATTATTCATTAAAAAAACATTTTTTCGATCGATTTTGAGGAATCGTCCGCGTAAGAATAATTCTAGAATAATTAAGAATGTGGAAGCATTGGAATGTTACTAAAGATACCGTTTCTAGTTAGCTTATAAAAAAACTTGAAAGATCCAGAATATTCTTTCAAAATACTACGGCATTTCCAACAGATTTTGATCTTAAGCTGACCTGAAAATTCCTGCTTTGTTGACTCTACTACAGAGAATCTAAAATCAAGTCCAACATTTCCAATTGACACTCATCCCATCCATTCGTCGCCAACAGCAATCCGGTCAATTCTTCTTCGCCAACAATGGGCGGAGCTATCGTTTCGGAAATAGGAGGAGCTCGAGGCATGGATGGAGGTGTTGTTATTTGTGTACTATCAAGAAAACCATCATTAGCGGCCTTAAAAAACTATTTACTACTATGCTAACCTTCGATTTGTCTGGTCTGTAAAATTTTTATGGCGCTTTCCTTTGGCTTGTTCTTTATCGTCCTGCATGTCCACTTCCATGAGCAGCGTGCTATGGATCACATCAACGTTTTCCACTTTAACGGCAGGTTTTTGAGAGTGTTTTTTAGTTTTCATGCTTGCTCTGGCCGCTTCTTCCACATTTTCTATATCTGTCGCTCCGCAGATTGAAATATTGGACAGAATGTTGTGTTTTCTTTCGCTGGGGCCCGCATTCGGTCGATACCTAAAATAAAGCTTAACCGTTAGGTATATGAGGAATTTATGCGGTGTAGCACGTATAAGTTAAACAGAGAAATAGGTATTTTGGATAGCAAGTAAATCAAAGCTGAAATATTGTTTCTTTTGTAGTTAAATTATATTCCATTTCTCGATGTACCCCCATTTAACTATTTATACCTTTTAATTTTCTTGTGCACTTTGGCCGCTTTTGTTGAAGCATGTACGCCATTTTTCGGAGTTCTAACAGTGAGCGACGATCTTCGTTTCGATCGTCTAGATTCCTCCAGCCGCTCTAGGTCAAGTTTCCAAAAACCACCTTTACCAGGCTCGTCCTTTGACCGGGCTTGCTTCACAAAACACTTATTTAGTGAGAGGTTGTGACGAATTGAATTCTGAAATCAATAAAATTAATATGTAAAATAATCTTAAATATTCGGGGACAACAAATACCTGCCAACTCGGGTGCGCTTTCCGATAATATAAAAAGTTCTCCCTGATCCAATGGTAGATCGCACTCAAAGTCATTCTATTTCCATTCTTTCCCATGGCCATACAGATTAAAGTGGCGTACGAAAATGGGGGTTTTTTGTCTCCATTTTTCTTGTAAAATGTTATATCTATCGTTAAATCGGCAGGACGCGGAAGGCCGTTTTTCGAGTCTACCTCGGTGGATTGGATTGCTCGAGATTTGCTAGTTCTTGGCTTTGGTGATACTGGTGGTGTTGGCAAGTTGGGAACTGAAAATTTTAAAATTCTTAGCTTGCATTTATGCCTGGAATTAAGTGATTTCATACCTGCCATGATGTTTGTATAATTTTGGAGCCAGTTTAAGCTCTTTAAATCGGTTTCATTTTGCTCCACATCGCTTTCACTCTTCGGGCTAAGCAATGTGCTCGTTCCTTGAAAGCCACCAAAGTTCTCCGAAACATCTCGATTGCTGGAAACCGAATTTGAGAATTCTTCGTTGACCGACAGTTGAGACGTTTCACTTTTTATGAGCGGTTCATACGTTGAGCAATTATTTGAGCTGTCTGGTTCCGCGTTCACAATGAAATTGTTTTTCAATAGATCCGCCCCTTGCAGTTGTGAAGAGTTAAGAGGGTCAGCTGAGCAGATGTTTTTGAGATCCTTTATATCAATAATACTGATGTTGGAGGTGGATTGATTGATTGAGTTCAGGTCCAAGCTGGAGTTTCGGTCGGCGAGGCAAATTTCCAAACCACCTTGAAAGCTTTCTTGTTCAATAATGAAATTTTCAGTCGATATTGGCTGACAACTATTCTCTTCATATATCTGATACTGAATTGTTTCGTATGGTTGGTTTTGGTTTAGGTCGATGAAAGATGCTTCCTGATTTTGTTCTACTAAAAATTTACTATTTAAAAAAAAAGTAATTTCCAATAGGAAACATTAAGTAACATAAACATTTATTTTTTATCTCGAGTTCTTCCAGTTTGTAGCTCGAACAGGTCTTAAAAATTTGTTCGATTAAATTAATATGAGCGCTTAATAAGTAAGTAAAAAATGTTTAATTTCCATTATATTTTCATCGACTAGTAATTTGACCACAACTGTATTTAATTAAATCTATATTTTCTTTAATGTATGGTTTTGATTAGAAGCCGCACATAAACTTTTATTACATTTAGGAATGTTTTCCGGGCTTTGAAGCCGTGGTCTATCGGAATTTCTTCCTGACGTTTCGTCCACAACTGCGGTGGACATT